TGGGGGGGGGGGGGCAGCTCCGACTACGTCGATGCCGGTAGGGAGTTTCGTGAGAGGTACCGCGACGGACGTTGCATGCAAGTTTCCAGGTGCGTCGGGGTGGCTAACTTTTTTCTTTGCTTTGCCAAATTCGGCGTGATCAATCGCTTGATGCGTGCGGGTTGAAGCTGTAGCGGGTGGAGACTCGTTTCGTGGTATGTGGCCACACCCCGTTGGCATTTTTTCTGCCACTGGAGAAAAGGGGCGCGACATGCATGCACCCGATTCTTGTTGTACGAGACGTGGCGTGTTCAGCACCAACATACACATACGTGGCAGAATACGCCAATAAGGACGAAGGCCCAGCATTTCAGCACGAAAAACATTCAACTAGTTGGAGAAACGGCGAATGCCACCTGTCACACGTTACATTGGCCGCGTCTACACACAACAGGCTTAATATTTCGGGGAGAACATAGAGCGTGTAAAACAAACATGCATTTACGCTACAAGGCAAACAGATGAAACACCCATAAAAAACGTGCAAACCATCTAAAAAAAAACCGTGGAAACACCCGTCCATCGCGCAACCCCCCCCCGCACCTGTCCTTGGTACCCCATATCCCGCTGGATCGGCCCCCTGCTCGGTCCGGTCGCCTGAAGAGCCATCCCGGGCCTCGACGGCGGCTGCCACCCCTAGCAACCAATCAAGGCAAGTTGAAAACAGCAACAAACAAAATATATATGCAGTACTTGACATGAAGCAAACGGAAGATGGTCGAGCCTGTAGATGCACAAGGCTCACGTCAGGTCCAGACACCGACTTGAAGCAGGGGTCGAGTCGAAGAGCAGGGGGGGGGTTGTAGTGGAGCGAGTTTTAGTCGCGTTCACGCGGAAACTAGACACACGCCGTTCCATCGTTCGGGCCTAATCTCCACCCGAAGAGTGCAGAACATTACAAGTACTGCTGTTGCTTTACCTTGTCCATGCGCGCATCATGGCGGCACGGCAAGCAACCAAAGCGTTTCGTGAGCGAAGAACTTACTAAGTGGTGCGACAATCCCCTACCGGCATTTTAGCGGGCAGCCGGCATTATTCAAGAGTATGCACCAACATGAATATTCCATCTTTGTCACGCGATTTCACCCGAATTATACAGGGTAACCGGCACTATATCAGACCACCACAGCACCCAGGAATCCGGGGGATAGGCCCCCCACGGCCCGGGGTAGAACTAACACTGCTGGCATGGCACACCTGCGGGGCCCCTCCCTGAGAGGGGTACTGCTGCGAACCTCCACCGCCGCCGCCGCCGCCGCCGCCGCCGTATCGACTACCACCGTATCCCTGCAAAAGTGTGGGAAGAGGTCTCTCGTGTTGTTGTTGTTGTTCTTCTTGTTTATCGTTGCTTCAACAATGTAACCGTTGACACCCGTTCAAACCGCGACAGCAGCGAGCGGTTTGTCGTTGCTTCAAAAATGTAACCGTCGACACCCGTTCAAACCGCGACAGCAGCGAGCGGTTTGTCGTTGCTTCAAAAATGTAACCGTTGACATCCGTGAGAGCGGCGAGCGGGACACGTCATACTTGGTGGCTTGAAGGGGGCAAACACAGACAAGAACGACACGAGCAGTCGGCGCGTGCTTCGAGACACTTTCAGCTTCGGCAACAGCGTATACTTTCGATGAGGTTGGAGGTGTCGGTCCCGCTGATTCCTTCGCCGGTGAATATCTTGGTGCTGTTTGGCACCAACACCGGTTTGATCATTACGATACATGCCGATCCAAAACATGCGAATGCACGTATGTATGCATACTTTGGGCTGTTAGTGAGAGCAGAGTGACCACGCACTTTCCGCGGCCGACTCAAAACGCGTCAGGGCTCATCTCGGTGCCTGAAACTTATTGCCACGTCGCTTCGACCTCACCATCGCACAGAATTTCATCCAATAACACTTCCAAACAACAGCGTTTAAAATTTGGTCCCGGGTTGATACGTAGAACGCGACAAACGCTTCCGCTCTTCCGCGCTCCTCAATACGGAGTTGTTCCTGGGTGGTTCTGTACGTACAACTCGACAAAGCCTATGTTCTTCGACGGTCGTCATGAGGAACGCAGCGGCAGCCAGAATAGCACCCTCTCCCCGCTGGATTCAGGATAGAACGTCCAATTTTCTCCTTTTCCGGGGAAGGTCTTCGATTTGATGAAGCCATCAGATCGTAAAAAAAAGCACAGGGTGCCACATGGACGTCCTCATCTACATGGTCCCCCTATCACCTCTTCACCCTCCCAACCGCTACCGTATTGAAACAAACAATAAGAGTGGTGGTGGGTGTTCCCACCTGCCCCGGTTGCGCCCCCCCCATCGGCGGGCCATCCGTCCCCTTCAGCTTGTTCGTAATGCGGGACAGAAACCCACCGCCGTCACCCCCTGGCTGCTGCTGCTGCTGCGTCGGCGGCATGCCCCCAGAGGGGTATCTGCCACCGTAGCCCCCCTGCTGCTGTTCCGTACAAAAGGTGTTGTCGCAGTGGTAGAAAAAACAAACGGCGAGGGTCAGACATCTGAGAGCCACGCGATAGCGTCGCATCCGCCATCAAAACAAAACGCAGCATCCACCTGCATCCATCATCTTCACGTGCGATAGCACCAGTACGGACGCTCTGCCTACCGCAACGTTCTGCTGCTGCTACCTGGCTTCCACGTAGATCCAAACAGGTTTTCATAAAAGACAAGACACTGGTGCCATCGCTCACAACAACAGACCCGTTACGACAACTATCGAACAAGAATACCGACCCCGCTCCAGAGAACACAACCCGAGGGATACAAACAACACCGCACACGACAAATCCACGACGCACCTGCTGCTGTTGCCCGGCGGGGTAGCCCCCACCCCCATACCCCCCGCCCCCACCCCCGGCGCCTCCTTGCCCCTGAGCCTGGCCGTACTGCTGGTTCTGGGAGGGAGGGCCGCCCCTGTACTGCTGCTGCTGTTGGCCCGGAGGTGGCCCTCCCCTCCCATACAACGCTCCCGCTCCACCTGGCCCGGACGGGGGGGCTTGGGATGGGGGCGACGAAGGAGGGGCTTGCCCTTGGCCCTGACCTCCGGGCCCTGCTGCTGATCGGTACTGCTGTTGTTGATATTGCTGCTGCTGCTGCTGCTGCTGTTGGGGTGGGTATCCTCCGCTGGGCTGTTGGGAGAAAGCATCGTTGTTCGGGGGGTGGGGGGTTAAATATGAAAAATAAACACAGCGCTGGTGTCTGTCTAATTTATTTGGTATGTATCTTTGTGCAATAGCCCGTGCCAACAGGGTATAGAGCGGTGGGACCAGGACGGTAAGTGCTCGTGCCGAAATGCATGGACAGCAGACATTGTGTATGAGCTGTGCGCTGGCGGCAACGCTCGATCGCGTCTCACGGCCCAACGGACAGGGGCCAGGGGGCAACGGGTGGTGAGGTACCTACCCCTTTTTTGCGGCGGGACGGACGTTGTCCCACGTGCAGCAGCCTGCTGGCATCGCAAAAGTGATGAATGCGAAAATAGGGTTCAATTCACAAGGTTACATGTATGCTGCTTGCAGAGCACGGTCATTCTGTATTGCACTGGCGTTTCAGCAGCAGTGTTGCTCCTGTGCTGTTGCTGTTCGCTAAGAGAGGTCAATCATATCTGGCGATGCTGTAGAAGTGCGGCTCATCATTTCGCTGTGTACGCGTCTGCTGTAGATCACCCAATCGCCGGGACCCTACATGCAACCTCTGGGAATCCGAAACCTTGCCAGCAAAACATTGGAAATGAACCCACAAGCGTGGGACAAGGCCGTGTTCTTTGCAAGCTACGGCGGAGAAAGCGGGAGAGAGGTGAATGAACAGCAACCCTCGCGCGCATCAAGGAAACGCAACGGCATTTCCGGTGAGCCGGCAGGGTGTATGACAGCAGTAGATCCAAACGTATGCCATGAAGGAGCCGGCAAAGCCGGCAAAGCCGCACAACCGTTTTGCTCCAACAAGCGCACGGAATCGCTCCAGACTTGTGGAGCACGCTTACCGGCTGTCCCTGCCGCTGAGGCATAGGGTTGGCTCCTCCCGTGCTCGCTCCAGGGTACCCCGGCGAAGAACCAGCCCCCTGCCCGAGGCATGCGGCAAACACGAGAGCTGCGGCAACCTTCCGGGAAGGCCCGCCGCGGCGCTTTCTCGGCGAGTGCATGTTTTGCGATACTTTCTCCTTTGTCTCTGCGCTTGAACGCTGCAAAGCCCTTGCGCGACGCGCCAATCGATGCGAGGTCACTTCACGCAACGATCTGGGGCCTTCCTTGCTAGACAGAGTGACGCGTGGCTAGATGTTGGTCTAGCGGCAAGGGGCTGACACAACGGCCCCCCCGGGGGGCATTGTAAAGGCTGCGAACCCCCCCCGTAACATGTGCGCTCGGTTGCTCTCTCTGCTCTCTGCGGCTCTTCCCTTGATCTATCTTCTACCCTCGAAGCCTCCAAAAGTATCCACCCTCTGAGCACAACACACGAACCGCTGCAAAGGTCACGTTGCCGTTTGGGACCCCCTCTTCTGCCTTCAGACTCGCGTCAACAGCTCTGCATCGATTGGAACAACACCTTTTGGCTCGAGCTATCAGGCAAAGACCGACCGCACACACACACCTGCACATACTTGCTGAGCAACGGCTCCGCACGAAAACAATGAAGACGACCAAGGCACCAGCAGCAGCCGCAACAGCAGTGCTCGCCGCAGTACTCGGAAGCAAACACAACTGCGCACAAGCCTTTCTGGTGAGCGCTCCCGTAAGGAGCGGCAGCAGCAGCAGCAGCGCCTCCTTGCCGACTCGATCATCATGGGCATCACAAGCGGCACAGCAGCAGCAGCGGCGGCGAGAGGGCTTGACGGGGTTGTCAATGGTGTCGGCCACTTTTGGGGAGAAGATAAACACCGACCGCATCGTGATGGACAAGACGGCGAGGGAGGCCGTGCAGGAGCTGTACCCGGAGGCTTGCGCGAAGCACCCCAGGTTCCTTGGTGAGGGTTTAGGGCAGGGATGATGCATGTTTCTGTTGGACAGAGACCAGCTTGCAGTTCAGCTTGCAGTTCAACTTATTGCGTGTGTTCCACGTGTTCACCGTTCACCCGTCCCTACCCTACTGATATCGGCCGGTGGCGTCTGTGGCCATTCACTTACTCATCAACGATCTCTTGTGGAGAGTACTGCAGATACAAGTTGAAAACTCGAGCGGTGGTGCTATGCTCTTCGCCGTGTAAGGCAGCCACCCACACACATCTGCTTCTTCTTGATGCGGAAATATACGTGAGATAGCACCCCCCCCCCCGCCGAGCGCAATGGCACAAAGAGCGCCTGCGGTATCTGCTTGTTTTTGGGACGATCGGGTGGAGACACGTTTGGTATTTGTGCAGCTGTTGGTTCAATCCGGCTTTACACCCTTCCGTATTTTGGCCCACTCGCCAAACGGGAACTCTGAGTGCTCCTGGCGGCGAAATGCCCGACGGGCACTTGTAAGATCGACGCGTGGGCGTGCGCAGTTGTGCTTTGGTATCACCGTGAACCGCCAAGGTTTGCCTGATAGTTTTGTGTCCATTTGATATCCTCCTCGACGAAAACCGTCCTTTTATTGTTGGTGGCACTCTGCAAGTGCCACCACGAAATCGACGATGCCAACTCAGCAACTCAGCACTTGCAGCAGACAAGTTGGGAATGTTATCTTTGACGTTGCCTTACACCTGATGATGGAAGCCGGAGGAACGAAGGATCTCTCAGTTGCCTGCTCATGCTGCCTACATACTGTGCATCATGCTTTTCTTCATGCTGCCTACCTTCTTTTTTAAAATGCTGTTCTCTCTCTCCCTCCCTCTCTTTCTCTTTCTCTTTCTTTCTCTCTGTCTCTCCCTCTCTGTCTCTTCCTCTTTCTCTCTCTCTCTTCCCCTCCCACCCCCACCCTCTCTCTCTCTCTCTCTCTCTCTTTTTCTCTCTCTCTCGCTCTCTCCAATCTCCCTCTCTCTCTTCTCTCTCTGCGTAATCTGTGTGGTTGTTTTTTGAAGATGAGATCGGACACGGCGAGACAAGGACATTCACCGAGGAGCAGCTTAGGAACCGACTCGAGGTATGATACAGCAGTGGTATCTGGTTACAATGGGATGGTCTGTCCGTCCGTTCGCGCATCGCTTCCCTTTTGTGTGAGGGTGGGGGTTCTGCTCTGCTCTACCCTTGCGTCGAGAAATTGTTTTTGGTTGGGAGGAATGCTCTTCAGCAAGGCGCTAGCGAGTAAAAACGGTGTATTCTGGTAGCCACTGCTGTTGCTGTAGAAATCAAGCATCTCGACGGCAGGGCTTCTGCTGGCGCTGCTGCTGCTGCTGCTGCTGCTGCTGCCCCCTCCATTCGTGTGCACGGCGTTAACCTCCGCTACCGTTTACCAGCATCACTGCCGAGCACCCGAGTCCCCGAAGAGAAAACGAGGCGCCTGGGTTTTCCCAATCCAATGCCCCGTAAACAATGTTGTACTTATAGCTGTACTCACTTTGAGTGTGGGTCTCATTAATCTCAAAGTGGAACTGCCATGGTTGTCGATAGACACAAAAATGAAGTAATCCATGCTGGAACCCCGTGGATTTCGAAGGGTTGTGGGTGTCTTGTCCCGCCGTCATAAAGGCTGACGCTGGATTTTTCACGGTCACACACACGAGTGTCATGCCAGCGAAAGAATTCACACGCACACACACACACACGCGCAACCCTCTCTCACCTGGTGACACGCAAAGGTGGCCCACGTGTTCGTAAGCCTTGCCAACCTGGTGCTGCTGTCCCGCGGCAAGAACGTCCTCGCAGAGGACTTCAAGTACTACTCCCCCGGCACGGGCCGCCTCGACCGTGAGAGGTAAAGAGTGTGCGTGTGTGTTTTTTTGTTGTTAGCATCGACCACGCTGACCGGCTGACCAATGAAAATATTTCAATCTCGGCGCGGTTGAAAACACACTGGAAACACAAAATTCCTCAGGTGTTTGCGCGTGCGTGTTTTCTTTGTTATCATCGACCGTGCTAACCGGGTGACCAATGAAAGACGACAGTCTCGGTGCGATTGTGTGTGTGTTTTTGTGTCTTTGTTTTTTTAGCATCGACCGCGCCAACCGGCTGATTAATGGAAGACGCAAGTCTTTTAGCGGGATAGAAACGCCACGTGTGTGTGTGTGCACGCGTGTCTTGTGGCCATTGGGGGTTTCCGCTTCCCCGGGCCCCTTTTTTTCAGGGGGGAAGGGTTTTTGTAACGGTTTTTGGGGTCCTTTTTAAAGCCCCCAAGCCCCGAAAAAATGTGGGAAAAATTTTCCCGTTTTTGATCCCCGGACGACTCCCCGGTTTTTTTCCCGGGGGTTTTTTTTACGTTTTTTTTTTCCCCCCCCCCCCCCCCCCTTCCCCCTGAATTGTGGCACGATGCATGCGCAGCTTTCTCCGGCTGACCAAGACCCTGGACGTTGCCTTCTCAACCTTCCGGGTCACGCCTACCGACTTCGTGGTAAGATTTTGGGGGTCGTACAAGTATGGGTCGCGGTTTTCTTGCCTCGTTTGTTCCCTTTGGCGGCGCTGCCGCAGGCGGCGGCAGCTGTCTTGAAATCGAGAAAAAAAAAAAAACAGGTTGAGTGGTCTGCACAGCAGCGGTACTTGCACGTTTGTCCCGGTCCGTGAGCGAATATCATGTCCGTGTGAGGGTAGGGAGTGGTACTCTGGGGTATTGTTGTCGTGCCGTCTTGGCTGTTCAGGTGTGGAATGTTCAATATAATATTGATTATGATTTTTGCCGCCGAAGGACATGACGTCAGGCGAACGCCGTCACTGTGTGTGCCGCCGAGAACAACAATTACTGTCCCCGGGCATTCTTTTGGGGGGGGGGGAAGGACGGCAGGCAAACAAGGCAATGGCATCACCGCGTGTTTTGCCGACAACAGCGATTTGTGTCGTGTGGCATCATTCAGCCGCAGCCGTTTTAGTTCTCGGAGAACACTCTGCGCTCTTTTGGAAACAAGCGCAAGTGACGACCCCAAGGCCGTGTTGCCCCCAATGACCGCAAACCGTCCATTTCTTGCTGTCGTCGCCGTTCGTTGCAGGTGTACAAGGACGGAACGGTAACCTACCGGCGCAAGTTCAAGGCTGTGCACGACGGCTACCTCACCGTTGGCGACAAGGTAGGTGTTTTTCTGTTCTCGTCTCGTTATACATGGCTCGTTGAATTTACCAAGGTTTAAAGCTGCGCACTTTCAAGTCTGTGCATGAGGAGTATCTCATGGTTGGCGAAAAGGCAAGCTTTCTTTCTTTTTCTCGTCTCGAGATATGCATAGCTCGTTCAGTTTACCAAGGGTCAACTTGTGAGACTTGGTTTGTTCTTTGACCGGGGGGGGGTTGATTCATCGGGCAGGACAAGGACTTACCCGCCAAGCCAGAAAAACGTGCCCCCCGCACAGTCGGGAAGCATTTCTCCCCGGTTTTCGTTCTGTTGTTCTTCAGTCCGACTACGTTCCAGATCCCAAACGCCCTTGCTGTGCCCCCCCCCCCCAAACCCCCTTTGGGGTTTTCCCGGGTACCGTTTTTTTTTTCAGAAGGGAAATTTCCCCCCCAAAAAAAAAAAAGGGAATTTGGAGGGGGAATTGGGGGGGGGGGTCTTTGAAAAAAAGGGGGGTGTTTTTTTTTTAGGGGAAGGGGTTATGGGGGAGGGGGGTTTACCCAACCAAAAACCGGGGGGGTTTTGCACCGCGAAAGGGGGAGGCCAATGGGGGGAATTGGGGAATTTAAGGTTTTTTAGATGGCAGGTAAGGGAAGGGGGGTGGGGAATTGGGGCAAGGAAGTGGGGGAAAAAACCCCCTGGGGGAAAAACGGAAAATGTTAATTGGGATTGGGGGAAAAAAATTTTTTGGGGATTGGGGGGAGGGGGGGAAGAATTTTGGGTTGTTGGGGGTGGGAGGGAAAATTTGGGGAAATTGGGTGGTTGGCCAAGGTTGTTGGACG